AGCAACCCGGGGAGCGCACTCAGAGCGAGTGACCGGGCGCCCCGCAAGCCCAGCTCCGGCCGGCTCTCAGGAAAGGAGCCAGCGATCCATTCCGGGGGGACAGGCCGCTAACGGGACCCAGGGCCAGGGGAGCCCCCGTCCGTCAGCGCCGAAACTGGGGGCCCGAGCTCCCGGGGGAGTTGGGCGCTGAGCTCCGCGGCTAGTGGAGCCTGGGAACGGTTTGGTTCAGTGACGGGTGGGTTAGCTGGGGGTGAGGCTGGGACTGCCCAGCGCGGAGCACCTGCAGTGCCAGGGGGCTGGCGGGGCACGCAGCCCGGGAAGGAGCCTTCCCGTCTCCTGGGGCACCCACCGAGGGTGGGCGGAGTGGCGCGCCAGAGCCTCCCTCGGGGCGCGGGTTGCAAGACACTGCGCGCACTTGGAGACTGGATGCAGAACGGCTGCGCTCTGGCTGAGCCCGTCCTGTTCCCAGCCCAGGCGAGAAGAAGAAAGCGGGCAGCTTTCCGGAGCTCAGCGCACTCCGATTGCCGATTGGAATCGCCGGCAGAGGCCTTGCTCCGGATGGGTATTATTAGCCCGGGGTCTAATTGCTATTAAACACTCCCAGCTGCCTAATAGGGGGGTTAAGGTTTTCAGAAGGAGCTGAAGTGGGAACGAAGGGGCGAGCCTCATGCCCACAGATTAAGGGAATTTCTTTGTTACAGTAAAACCTTCAACTTTTCCCAACAGTATGAAGGGAAGAGAATCCGGATTGTCAGGCGCAGTCACGCACGGAGTTCGCTAGGGATCAGAATCCCCCCGACTGGTGCCTGCTCAGCATGACGGGGAAAAGCAAGGGCTCCCCTGATGGCTTTAAACACTTTGTGCCGAAGGGTTTCCATTGGATTTATCCAGTTTTTCCTACCTCGCCTGAATAGGCTGAAATAATCCTGAGTTACAAAAGGGCATTGCTCTGAAATCCATAAATCCAGCCCTGTGTTTTTGTTTTGTGTTTAAATAAACTCCCCTTCCACGAGCGCAGCCAACTCTCTGCCTTTACAAGGTTTCAGGGGAGAGCGGCCAATGCGCGCAGCAGAAAAGCCAATGGTAAACGGAAATGTACAAGCAGAAATTGGAGTGAGTTATTACATCCCAAGGTCTCTGCCCGCGCATAAAATATCGATGCCAATTAATAAGTTAAACACTTCCAGTAAATAGGTTACTCGATCGGGCTTTAGTTCATAACGCAGGACTTGTAAGGAGAGTAATTTTTTTTTAAAGGCAGTTCAACACTTGGGGGCTCCCTATTCATTCTCAAAAACGTTAGTAGTGAATTAAAGGTGCTTTTAATTCTTCCTGGATTTTTTTTTTGGGGGGGGGGGGGTTGGGGAGGCGTTTGGAGAGAGAGAAGAACTGTCATAGCAACACCCAGGAAATTGATAACATAAAAGCTGCCCGGACACACAGCATTCAAGGGCACAGAAAGCTGGGGTTAGTGTACAGCCACATGCCCATCCCTGCGTGTGATGAGTTTTGTTACATCCACACTCTCTCTGTCACTTGGGATGCCGGGCTGTAGCACTAGGGACTTTAGATCCGCTTGCTGCCACCCACTTCGCGTTTCACACCAGGCAAGTCACCCAGTGCGCTGAATACTGTACTAAGGTTTTAAAAATATGACAAAGAAAATATGTAAATTTAGAACTCACATTGGCCTCTCCTAAATTACAAGAATTAAATCTGGGGAAATTAATGTGTGTATAAGTGACAGTTTGCGGAGGGCACCGTAATGATTAAAGTCAAATGTGCTTTTTAGCAGCAGCTTAGAAAATCGTAAAAAGATTTATGCACCATAAGCTAACTTCGCAAGATTGGCAGCGGACTCGACACCCGAAATAGGGGTTTGGACGAATTTGGATATTTCGGTGCCCAGAAAGGGATACAAACTGAAACCTAATTAATTGATCGGCTCCTACTGACAGCACCTAATTAGACATTGCTCCAACTCAGTTACTAGTCACTTGTCTTCGCAAGCATCTGTAGCGCAGATGTGAAACGAGCGGGTGTGTATGTCATTTCGGGGTAGAAATGGAACTTTGTGGGGACAATGCGGGCGGTTATAAGAGGATTCAGCCCGTGGGCAGCAGTACACCCAGGAAACCGAAGTTGATCCTTACTGCCAGTGACACCCTCCTGAGCGTTTCTGCAGTAGGGAGATTAAGCGTCACAACTGCAAATCATTGACAAGTCAACTGGTTCATGGAATCAAGAGCCCAGGCTCTGCATAGTCAGCAAAAGCAGCCAGTCCTCCGGCGTATAACGGGCCAGGCTCGCATGGGGGAGTGCGCACCTACAGGAGAACCACTGTGAGCAGAGCCAGGTCTTAGACGACTCTTAGAGGGGAGCTCAGAAAGGAGTTGCAATCAAAATCCCGCAGAGCCAGAAAAATCCCAAAGAGTAAACATCTGGGGCAAGGTCAAGAAGGGAGTAGCAGCTCCCCCCTCCTGTAACAGTTCTCACTCCGAAGTGTCTCACGCACAATGGCCCTAGTGCAAGCAGCACTGTTCGGTAGGTGTGTTTTTAAGGCTGGGTTTCAGGAATAAAAGAGAGGGAGGGTGTAAAAGGAAGGTTAGGACGCTGGAAACATTTTCTTCGGGCTCAAAACCTTCCGGCCTGTACTCCGATTGCGCGACTGGGGAGTGTTACATGGGGGGGGGGGGGGTTATTACACTTTGCTTGTCAGACACTAGGTCATTCACACACAGCCCGGAACGTTGTCGGAACAGTGGAGTCAGGCGGGTTTCGTTAGGTGGAGTGGAACGAAGCGGGCCGCGCCTGGACCGGGCGGCACCCGTTCGGGGAGTCATACCGCCCTTCTCCCGACAGGGGGCAGCCTCCGCCGCCAGAACCCCCGCCAGGACTGACGCCTGGTTCGGCGAGGAGCTCCAGCGCTAACTTTTTTTTTATTATTATTATTTTAACCATTTATTAGGACTCCAGTCTGAGAAGTAAGCCCGAGAAAGAGAGAAGAGACACCTGCGATCGGTGAAGTTACGGTCAGTCTCCGCTGCTGCAGTCACTTCAGTATCACGCAGCTAACAAGTTGCCATCCACAAACTCCTGGAAGTACCAACTATCAGCCCCAAAATCTTACACACCAGTTGAACTTTGTAAGGCGCTTTGTGGGGCGGGTGGCGGGAGGGAGAGAAGGGGACTGAGCAGTATGCTCTTCGGTAAGATGAAAATGGACTCTTACAGATTCAGCACAGCCCTGGAATCGCCTGTGATCCTGTTTTTACACAGGGTGTCTGGAAAGCCTTTTCAGGCATCTGGTTTTATGGTAGCTTTTATGTGAGCACTGCCTTTGGTAAGTAGGCACCCAGAGAGCCATTCGGCGCTAGTGGGTTGTAAAATGCAGAAACGATTTCTGTATAGTGATTTGCTCTGTGGTTTCAAAGCAAACGATTTACAAAAGCGATGCCACCCCTTTTCCCTCCAGTGGTTTTCAATAAAAAGGGGTACGGGTATTGAAAGATTGTAGGGTTCAAGTTTAGAGAAAAAGCCACTTACTCTGACTCAGACACCAATGTATATAGTTAATTCATGGAGAAAGGTTTTTCTTTTCCTAGATTTTTTTAAAGTACATTCCAGTACTTTACATTGACAAAGTTGAATGAACTTAGAAAAGATTCGTTTCTCAGAGAAACTGAACTTTCCGTGACCCTCCGAGTGTAACTAATTTAGCATGCAATTGACAATTAAAAACAAACAAACTAACTAACAGACTTTCCAACATGGAGTCCTTAGAGCATCAAAGGGGCACCGAAAAACCTCGTTTCTCTTTTGCAGACACCAGCAGCAGAATCTTTTACAGATGCCAAGTGACAATCTCCAAAATTTAGAATAAAACTAAAAGGGGGAAGGGGAAAAAAAGCCAGGTTCTAAACTGGCCTTGAGCCAGAGTTCCTTAAAGGTACAGGCCTCCATTACTGCCTGCTCTCACTCCTCCATGGCTATTCTCCCCAGAAATGAAGTCCGGAAAGATGTCTTTAAAACTTCAGCTACTAGAGGTTGCAAGAAAGATGCACAGCGTTGGAGAGCTGAATTAAAACAAGTGTCTTAAAGACTCTTCGCTTACTTTAAAAGAAACTGGTTCACGATAGGCAGGGGGCAATTTGGCCGTAAGAAGTGGGGTATTTCAGACCCACAGTTCTCCAGCAGGACTAGATGAGTGAAAAAGCTTAGAGTTTGGGAAGAGGGGGGAGATAGGGGGTCGCCAAGGCTGTCTGTGTGGGGGGTAGGGGGAGAACCCCACACATCTCACTACCAAAATACATGTAAATTCTCCACCCCCCGGACTCACACAAGCGAGCTCAGCGTCTTAACAAGCAGCCCCTCATCCCAGCCTAGGACTCACCTCCATTGCAAGGGGAATCGCCGAGCGAGAGCAGCCAAGTAATCCAAGGGGGGACCGGGGGAGAAAGGGCGAGGAGGCGGCGAGAGTAAATCCGGGATCACAGGAGCTATGCGGTATCCTCCAAAGCAGCGGGCGGCGGCGGCTGCCAGGGGCCAGGAAGGGAGCGAGCCCGGAGAGGGGGAGCGCTGGGGCCCGGCGAGCTGACACCAGGCAGACGCAGACCTGTGTCCGGCGCGGGCGCTCCCAGTGCGGAGCAGGGCACCAGGGCAGGCTCCTTTCCAAGGTCCATCAGCAATCGCCGTAATTAGGGCTTTCCAGCGAAACACGCGCGCGCGCGGCGCCCCGTGGGCGTGATCGTGCGGAAACACTTGGGAAACAAATACAATCTTCACGAGCTGCTGCAGCGAAAGCGCCCTGGGCTACGATCCTTTCCACCAGCCCAGCCCAGGTGGTGCAGCCGCCGCCGCCGGAGCGGGGCTCGCCGCTCCCTCCCCAGCAGCCCCCCGAGGAGCTCGCTTCCTAGCTCGCTGGCTCGCTCTCGGCCGGCGCGGCCCCTGCCGAAGCTCCGTGCGGGAGAGGGGCGTGAATGGAAGCGCAGGAATCCGCCCCGCTCCCCTAAAGGCTGGGCGCCGCGCAGCTGGGTGTCCGGGGCTGCAGAGCCATCCGCGGGCTGCGTCCCTCCATTTTAAACCCACGGGGAAGCCGGACTTGACTCTTCGGCGCAACTGGGGAGGGGGGTGCGCGTCTTAGAGGGGGCGGCTTTTCCTGCAGCCCAGACGGGGACTCGGGCAAGAGGAGCTGGGGGGAAAGGGGGGGGGTCCCGGGCTCAGGGGTTGTAACTCTCCCAATCCATTGCAGGGCAAAGCCCCTCAGCGCCGGGCACAAGTTACACACAGGCGGGACCCGGAGCGGTGGCAAAGCGCTGGAGCGGCCGCGGCGTTTCCTTCCTGCGCCTCTCGGCTGGGTCCCCGCGCGCCGCAGACAGCCCGCTCCCCCCCCTCCCCTAGGTCTCTATCGCTCGCGGCTCTCCTCGTCGCCCTGCCTCTGAACAGTGCACGGAAAAGTTATACGGCCAACGGCGGCCGAAAAACTTTAGGAGGTGCGCATGCGCCTTGCGCCGACCTATGGCAAACCAGACTGGGTTTTAAAGCTGTACCACAGACAGGACCCCAGCGCAAACCTCGGCAATACAGAGATGCTCCACAGGACCTCCCCCACCCACCGCCCTTCAAACTATTCGCAGTCCGTTGCATCCTTCGTAGGAAGGAGACGCATTCCTATAGATTACTTGCTGCCTGCTTTAGCTAGAGCCTCATTCATCAATGCAGGCAAGCTGCGCGGAAACTCCAATTAGACCAGCTTCCCCTAGGCTCGCTCGGAGAGCACCAGTTATGTGATTCAAACCTCTCTACATGCCCCCCCCCGAAAGGAAATCGACCCTCAGTGAGACGTGATTATATGCGATAGTATAGACACATATACACGAGCCATACCCTGGGTAGTACAACTTTATATATAATCCCCCATGTGTACATTATCTCCAGACATAAATACATACACCATATATCTTACGAGAAAGCTTTGCGCGTGCGTACAAATATATATATACTTCATGTTCGTTGAATTTCTCATTTGACAAGTGATTTCTTGCATGCCCCAGGTTGTAGATGTGCTTCCACGTACCCTTGACAAATGCTGGGTTACTAAGCAGGCTTGATTATTTGATTTCCCCTCTTCTCCAGTGTTTATTTCCGCTGTAAATTTGGCAGGTTGTTGTCAAAACTGTTTAAGTTAAATAACGCAGGACCTAATGAAAGCCAAAGTCGAGGACAGTTTCCTGAAACCTTTGTACTTCACAATGGTTTCTCCACTCCAGTCCTCAGCCAAAGATTTTATTGAGTTTCTCGCATCTCACATGCACCCAAGTGAGGAAGTAGCAGCATTCCCTGAGCCATTTCATAATTCCGTATTATTTCCCTTTTATTCCTCTATAACTGCAGGTCCACTGGGAGGGGGGAGGGGAGTCTATCAAAGCAGCGCCGGGAAATCCAAACAGTGCTGAGAAAACAGCCTCAATATCAATAAATGCATTCACTCTTTCAAAGTCATTCCAGTGCAAATAAAATCCCTTCGGGAGTCCAACGGGGGAAACAACACATCTCGGTCTGATTCCACTACTGCGGTACACAATCTTTCAGGGCCAGGCAGTCTCTCTCTCTCTCTCTCTCTCTCTCTCTCTCACACACACACACACACACACACACACACACACACACACACACACACACACACACACACAAAATACCCCCGCAAGTAAGTGTGTATGCACACACAAACAGAGGTAAGTACAACTTTCCTTTGCGCGCACATACGCACAGATAAGTACAACTTTCCTTTGCGCGCGCGCACACACACATACACGCACACACAGGTAAGTACAACTGTCCTTTGCGCGCACATACACACAGGTAAGTACAACTGTCCTTTGCTCTTTGACAACAGAATTTTCTTAGCACAGTTGAACAGCCTAAACAATGCAAACCATTCTCATTAAGACCAGAAAGAAGTGACTCTTCTGGGGGTAACTGTTTGTGCCAGGTCACATTGTAAACATCGCTTTTTTTTATTCCTCTCCTTCTCAGTTATTAACCATTTTTGTAAACAACCCTTCAGTTTGTCCAGTCATTTCAAAACCTTTATGGCTCGTGTTGAGTTGTTTCTGTTGACAGCAGACATTCTATAGGATCAAAGTCGTTTGTAAAGCCCGTTTATTTCATACTTACTTTGGAAGATAGTGGCAAGGGAGTAGTGAAGATTTGTTTTGTAAACTTGTTGAATCTCCCTGTTTAACTTTTAGAACCCAAATACCAGATTGCAAATACTACAGGCTGCAATGAAAATTTCAGGATGCTGTCAGACACATAACCACGGATGCATGTGTAATGTACATAAGAACTGTACCAAACCTCATTCTGAGATGAAAGTTTATAGAGAGGCCTTATTTGCACTTGCCCCTGATTGAATGATCAAACGGACACTGTGTAAAACAGGACTGTAAAAAAGCACAGATCCTTTATTCCGATAGATTTAGGTTTAAGGGACAATAAAGTACTTCAGATTACTGCTAACCACCTTGAATCTTATCTAAGCACCTGAAGCAAGAGCGGTCTGTTATCAACACAATTTATTGTTCTTCTTGTTAGCTGTTCCTGTTATTTAGCAAACCTCGCCCTGGTTTTAGGTAGATCTTCAAAACCTTCAGTGGATGTGTAATCAGTTATTTGCAAGGATAGTCCGTGATAATCAATATCTAACAGAAAAGTGAGGAGTTCAAAGAATGTATCTATTCTCATCAGGCACAAGAGAACAGATACCTTTTATCAACAGCAAGGACTAAACCTCAACAAATGAAGTAAAAGAGTCAAGTCCCCAGCTGGGGATATGCGCCTAAGTGGGCACAGTACACAATGTGCTGGCCTCCAGCTTCTGACGCAATGAAATAGCAGCTTTTTTAAAAAATCAGACTTTTGTTGAGGCATTTTGATCTCTCTTTCAAACACAAACACACACACGCCACTACAGGCATAGTACCCGTGTATTATATATTAATACGTTGATGTTATACTATTGAGTGAAAATATTTCATACATATTCTATGGTAAATAAATCACGCCTCACAACTTGAGATTTGGTTCCTTCAGCAGAAACTGTGATATGGAATTTATATATTACATGGATCACCAAACTTCCAATTCCAGGCGGGGGAGAAAATAAGGGGGTTTGGTTCGTTCCTTTTAGGAAGACCAACCTTAGTTTTATGCCTAGTAAATAATATTTTATTGCCTTTGGTTTACTGTGGCATTTCTATTATCCCCTCCAGGAGTCTGCAAACTGCTTGGGTTAAAGGTCATTTCTCAAATCACTAGAATTAGTGAAGAATAGCAGAAAACTGTAAAAGGGGGAGGGGATGCGCAGTCAAACAAGCAGGATCGCCTGAAATGAACTAATAAAGAGCCCCGAGCTCTCCCGTTTGTATTTCAGAGTGATGTTTATCATCGTGTAATTGAATAATGTTATCGGACAGAGGAAAACGCCTAGCGCCGGACGATCAATAGAGAAAGGCAAGCACGCAGCCGTATTAGCAGCAGTTGGCAATAATCAAAGCAAACACGGAATCAGTTTCGTTGCTGGAATTCTTGGGGGGGAGGCCAAAATCATATTTCTGAACAGGGAATTTATAAATTTCAGGCAAGTTTTCAAGTCATGGGGCATGGGAGTGGAAATAAGAGGCAGCAAGCCAAACATCCTGCAAGTCTTTAAGAATTTTAATTTCTTCTAGCTATTTAAAACAGCTGGGTGAGGCA